TGTATGTTAGTCTGCATTGAGGGACGATGAGTTGAACCAAGGATAGGCGAAAACCTTCTCGACCTTTATTATAATGGCAAGTGCCCCTAAGGAAGAAAAAAAAATCCCATTTGGCCCTAATTCTTTACAATGGCGACCAAGCCTTAGGCTCTAGGAACAACTCTAAGCTAAGCAATTTTCATGGTTTGGGGTTTCTTTGCCTGCTTTAATACCTAAACAAGGAGAAGCTGGTTGAAAGACATGATTGGAGAATCCCGGATAATACCACCTCTATAGTCTTAATTTGGGAAGGGCTTAAACACAGAGAACTTGTTTCTACATGTATTCTTGGCTGCATTATGTCATCTAATTTTAGATGGAAAACGGGGCTAACGAGCCTCAGGAAAATGTTCCCAAAAAATAAACTCCTAATATTAATATTAATAAATTATTATAAAGGAGTTTATTTTTTGGGAACATTTTCCTGAGGCTCGTTAGCATCGATCAGCATCACTGGTGTTTTGCCGTGAAATGTTGGACCTTAGACAGGCAAAGTCAGCTCAACAAAGCAGAATTTCCTGATCTTGTTGTATAAGTAACACTGTCGCTTCACCACGAGTCCTGGTGGTGGTTGAGGCAGCTCTGCTCGAGTGTATACATCAGGGTGGCGAAGTAAAACGTGTCGTTGCTCTGTGTCAGTGGGACACATTGATGCATACATAACTCCAGGATCTGGCGATGAATAGCTGGTCCACCATAGTCCATATTACTGTCAGTTCTCAAACCTATGTATGAAAATATTTCCTTTCGACAGTATCTCAGGTACTTGTGAAACACCACCTGAAGAGTCATGTCATCCACAAAGATGTCAGTGACTAACTGTGTCAGAGCATCTGAAAGGCCACCAAGGCTGGCATCTCGAGCGGAGTTCAGAGCTCGCCGCATGTCAAGTCTCACGGTTAGCACTCATTGTCCAAAGAGTTTGTTAGTGCGGCACCAACAGATTTCAACAATAAAAAAACAATCAAAAAGCAAAACAACTACGAATCCAACGAGTTATCAACGCGAGCAATAGTGAATGTAGATATGACTTTAAAGATTAAAGCGTTTTTGTGCACCCAATTTTCCGCCTCACACTGCCCACGGCTTTATTAAAAATCGATGATAGTCCTTAGCCGTCGGCTAATAAAATCATATTGTGTTTTGGGGAAACAGAAAGATTGCTGTGAACGAATGTTCTAGAACAAACTAGACTAAAGGGGTATCCTTTAGGGCCAACGTGAAAACTGTTAATGGTCACTCTTGCAAATCTATCTGTTTAAAGTGTGACGCCTCATCTGCTCACAGATGAATAGTTCTTGCTACTCCTTGCACAGAGCAAACCCTGTTAATTAAGCAATAGGAAATGAAAATGTATGCAAAGGTACCCGAGCAATTGGGGTGGAAAAATGAGGGAGGCGATAATTATTTCAGGAGTTATTTGGGCTAGATACATTTTTTGGGGATAAGTGTGCGTCTTTCCTTCATTATATTAGTCTTTATATTGGTCTCCTTTGGGGGAGGGGGCCAGGGAGGTAATTAATTAGGAAGATCTGACCTCGATTCGAGGCTGTGTTTATACACAGACACAAAACAAAAAACATAGTCACAATTCACCCGACAAGTACAGATGTACATAAAATAACGTCGGTCCTCAATGACATTGACAACCGGGGAAGTTCATCTCTCTTGCAGGGTGCCCAGGGCAATGAAATCAGACCGACTTGGCAGAAATTGAGTGAAGTCACTCTGTCCCACCTCACTTTATGTTCAATTAAAGGATACAAAAAGAAGTTTCAAAGATGGAAGATACCCACAAGCACAGCACAGACAAACTGGAGGGAAAATTCCTGTTGGGTGATTTAGAACGCCAGCTATGAAAGATAGACTGTGTTGCCGCGGAGGGGCTGCCAGTGAGGCAGTAGTTTGTTGATTACTGTGGTTCCAAAGAGACCATTAAGCTGGAGTCGCTTAAGGCAATTAATTGTTCGCATGTTACTGTTAAAGGGCATATGCCCTATGCATCCAGTACCAGGTCCACCAACAGGTATTTTTTCACGCTTTTTGTTCACTTACAGAAGGCTTCAGCAGTGGAGGGTATCGATGACGGTAGGGACAGCAATGCTGGCACTTTTTTTTTTCTGTCTGGCAGCGGTCGAGCCAGACAGCAGCCGGGCTGTCTTTCATGCTGTCACAGAAATTTCCAATTTCTTACCTTTGGCGCTGCCGCACCATGCAGAGCAATGTGCCATCCCTTGAGAAAGATTATTAAACTTTAACAAACCCGACAACCAAAGCAGCTACCTTCTGTGGCATTGTTTTTCCGACACAATGGAAGCTCTAATTCATGCAGTATAAGCCATCTTTGCAAAACTTTATAGCAAATGTGACCCACTTTGTGAAAAAGTCGCCAGAGCCACTTTTTGAGTTATCATTTGTATTGGACAGAGCGAATTGAGTTTTTGTTTGGCAACCTGATTAGAATAATTATTCCATGGTGAAAAATGTTTTGGATTCCAAAATATTTTACAATTATTTTGAAAGACGTTTTACTCCAAAAGTGGCTCCGGCGAGTTCAGACTCGTTTTTACAGTGTGCGTCGGATATTGATAAGATGAAAAGCGTATCCGCCCGCCCAAACAGGAGCTGCGTCAAAAAGGAAGAAGCGTTGTGCTATGAATGCAATTTAAGCCTTTTTATTTGAAGTCTGTTGTTGCCCAAACGAGTCTCCACCTAATCCCAAATACGAACATTCTAAATCATTTGTGGAAATTCAAAATGCCTTACCCCATTTATTTCCGTTGATCCGGTTGTAGGTTTTTTAGCGCAATTACGGTCAAAATTCATGTACAGTGTAATGAGATCTTGAAGCAGTTTAGTTTTTGGAAAGTGCAAAGTAGTCCGTTTGAATTAACGTCATATTGTTGATTATTCCTTGCAACAGGTCCACATTTTCTCGGACGCAAGCCAACAACAAGTTGTGGTGCTTTGACAACGCAATGTGGTGGCAATCCGGGACACATATCGACAAAAGACCTAACAGTTCTCTGTTACAGACGAAGAAACGACCCACAAAATAAGCATCGACTGCACAAACATACAAACACAAACCCCAAGTAATAGAAACAAACAGTTGATTAAAAAAAAAAAAACACGAGATTGAGAAAAAAATAAACAGGATTCAGGAAAAGCTGAAACAAAATCCCGTCTTAAAATCCCGTCGGATCAAGGTGGTGGCATGTACTTCACAAAATGTAGTTCACACCCAGGAGTCAGCCAAAATGTAGTCCAGTTTGGCAATGAAAGTGAAAGATCGGGCTATCTACAACGTCCGCTGGCTTCGTGTTCCACAAATCCATGAATCTGACAAAAAGTAACTCGTGAAAAGCTATAGTTCATGAATAATGATGAATCAATTTAACATTACCAATGTGTCTAGGATTGAGATATCTCTCTGATTCAATGTCGAATTTGTCATAGATACATTTGGCTACAAACACAAATGCCAAAAAAGTTTAGCCTATTCGTTAATTAGGACAGACCCAGCGTAGAACTACAGGTCCAATACTGGGTTAATACCCAGCTCGAATTTGGCATCTTTGGATGCGCAAACAGGAACGAATAAATCGCCTTTGAACTCCTTCCAGTAACGTTCGTTGGGAAGGAGAACTTGACTACTAAACTGGAGCAGCATACGCGTGTTGATCGTTGATACCGTCAGAAACTTGATTAGAGATTTAATGTCAGGGTCACCCTACACAGATTCTGCCCACGGAAAATATACACCATGTGATTTAATTTCTCCGCCACTTTTGAAAGGCCGTGTTCCTTTATTTCCCCTTCCAGAATTTCAAAAGTGGCGGTGAAGTGAAACAATGGCGTACATTAATTCGTCTGCACATCGTAGCAAAACAAAACAAAACCTTGGCAAGAGAGGCAATGACAAGTGGCAAAAGCTTTTCTTTCAGGAGTGTTACATGTACATACGTCCACACTGTGAGTTTAAGAACCAGTGCTAGAAGTGTTGACAAAATTGAAGTTTTGTATACAGCATTCCCTGCAGGGTCACCAGGCAGGAACGTAAGTTGTTTTAGCCGACCTCTTTTGAATAGATCTTTAACTCAGACTTGAGTTCTTATCTTGGCATGCTTGCTTATCTGTCTGGCATGCAACACTTACTGATATTCATTGACATACACGTTTCATGTGGGAAATTGATGCTGCTGATGATGAGCAAGTTGATAAGCTAGCAGAGGTGATGGAGTTGGATCCTGTAGTAATAAGAAGACAAAAGTTACAATGGGGTCCAACAATATTGGAAAATGAAAGGTCCAGCATTCCGTCAAATTTCCATAGAGCACGAGATCTTGCTTGGTTTGTCATAAGATTAATACCAATCTAAAAGCGAGGCGCAGTGATCTCTGTGTAAGTTGTATGTTTAAAAAACAGAAACAGCAATTGTGCTCAAAAGAATGAGCTTTTTGATGATCTTGATAATACTTATACTAATTGCAGGTAACTGCATCTCCATCAGTAATTTATGCAGATGCAGAGGAACAGGAAGAAGCAATTGAGATCCACTGGAAATAGGAAGTGATAATGAGAGCACTGGCAGGCGGTAAATGTTGACCTCATGTTGTCATTAAGGTTTTATTTACGGTAGTAAGCAATCTCTCGTGTAAAATAACTAAAAATTTATAAACAAGGAGAGCCAGCCAGATTGTGTTCTAGGCAAAATCACAGAAGTGGGTATAAATGAATACCTAAATTTTTAATATTTTCATTCTTTTTCTTTAACTGCACTTGCGTTATTGGAATGTGTTTTTTTTTTTTTTTACAATGATATTAACAAAATGACGCTATTCAAGACTTTTTTCATTTGCAGGGCCGGTGTCCAGCAGATGTGCCCGTGCAGTCCATTGATCGTCAAGGAGCAGTCGCTCCTTTGTTTAGAGGTGTCACCTGACGACAACCTGACGTGTCACTCGATGTTGAGCCTGATGGCAGCAATTATCAATTAATTGGCGCATCATCGCAGCAAGGCCGTCCAAAGTTCATTGACTCTCTCCAGGTAGAAGGTCTACTTAAGGTATGTGCATGTGGCATATCTCACACAATTTTTGCCAATTATTACACAAGGAGAAGCAACAGTCTCTCGGTTCAAATATTCATTGCAGTTCAACTCACACTGCGGATTTGTTCTTTTCTGTTTCTTCGGAAACTTCTATATACAGCTCGATTTTTTTATACCATTTGTACAGATGCCTGGTTGATACTATTATCACTCTGACCTATGACGCCAGTGTTTTTCGACAAGGATACAACTTTCAACGGGGTCCGAACAAGCGTGAACGTCCAGGAAGGGCAGGAGATAATGTGGTCGCCATGTTGACCGTCGATATCAATACCATAATACATATCTTTTTATGATGTAAGTGACTAATTTTCCCCTTATGCAGGCATTC